GCTTAACTTTTTTCCTAGGTGTATATATATATATATATACATATCTATACCTGTAACACACAAACTTGCTATGAAAAAAGGACATGTTTCTTAGTCCCTGTATTACAAGCCTGCAGTAGTTGAAACTTGAATAGAATTGATGAACATTTGCATCAAAAAATGGGATATCAGTATATATAAGTAAACTAATAAACTAACCGAGTCTACCACATTCCCAAAAATGGATGGGAGATTGGCTCCTGGTAGTTGATTTATTGTTTCTGAACCACTGTTTTCTCCTTTACAAGTTCACCACAGAATTGTACTTAGCTCTTTGTTAGGTTTTACTCGAGGTTTATAGGTGATGAAGGTTGTTGTGTGAGATGCATGTCTCCATATTCCCATCTCCCCTGCATCCAGAAAGGTTCTTCATTTTATTCATCACGGGTGTGTGTGTGTTTCAGTTTCTGACACTTCTGTTCAGACTTGCCTTGGCTCGTTATGTATTCTGCCAAGTTGTTTGGACATTTGCTCGAATGCTTCATTCCCAGGGCCTTCATTTCTACCATTATATAATGACTGGTTGCTTATTGCTTCCTCAAATGATGAATCAGCCCCGCATACTCAGTTTCTTTTTCAGGAAGCTGCCTGGGTGGGTGGACTTATTAAAGTGGAGAAGTCTTTCCTCACTTCTGAACAGTTTTTGGTTCATCTCAGAGTGTTTTTCAGCTCCCTTTTCAGTCGGGCCCAACCTTCTCTACTTTGGTCGAGAACTATGGATTGTCTCATCTTGTCCTCTCCTTCTCTTACTGCATGAGAGGTTCTATCTCTTTTGGAGACATGGGTTTCTCTCATTTTCTCTTATTTTCTTAGTTTCTCTTATTTGTGCCAATCTGCTTCATTTTCAATGGGGTTGATTGATCAATGGACCCTTGTTCAGGATCCCTTAGGTGCACCTCTTACCCTACCCTTCACTTACAGAATGACTTCAAGTGGTAGTTGGATTGGAACAATACTACTGTAGGTGTTCCTCTTCATACTCCTCATCCAGATTGTAATTTTTTTTATGGATGCTTCTCTTTCTGGTTGGGGAGCATATT